CAGCCCCCAGCTTCAAGGATGCAGGGCCTATAACATCATGTTTCCAGAATATACAAACCCCAAGAGTAAGAATATCCACTTGCTTTGTGTGGGGACCCCAAATTTGCCCGCCAATGCAAGCCAGAATGATAGGTTAGTTCAAACAGTTCCTAGGAGTCGGACTGTAACCCACCAGCCACGGACATAAACATGCAACCCTTATGTGGTGTTACAATCCCGTTGGCCACCTGTGCGTGGCCAGGCGTGGATGTTGCCTTTAAAAACCCTAGCTTGTGGGTTGTTCGGGGTCGCAGTTTCAGCTCCCGAGTCTGTGCTGCGTCCCTGGCCGGTTAGCTCTCCACTTCCCCAAGAAAGTCATCTTTTTAAGTGAGGCTGTCCGAACAGTGGACTTTTTTCCCCGTAACACTGGGACAAGACTGCTCTGGGGTTGGGACACTACAGTTTGCAGCAGGACCAAACAGAGGCTGGTCTGTCTCTGGCACTGAGGCTTTGGGACACTTCATCAGGGCTTCAAGTTTTCCAGGGTCCTGGGCAGAAGTAGCTGCAGCTACAGGCTAGGAGGAGGAGTGGAGCACTGCAGGGGTGGGGCAGGAGCAGGAAGTGAGCGGTCCAGGGGCGGGGCTGGTGGGACGCCAAGGGTCTTGGGGACAGTGTGCATACCTAGAGCACCATCTGGTAGGAAGCAGTGGTCACTGCACCTCTCTGGTCCTGAGATGAGGAAGATCATGTGCAGGCCTAGAGCACCATCTGGTGGGAAACATTGGTCACTGCATCCCCTGGACCTGAGAAGAGGAGGATCATGTACACAGCTAGACCACCATCTGGTGGGAATCAGCGCTCACCGCACCCCTTGGTCTTGAGGAAAGGAGGACGGTGAGCATGCCTAGAGCACCCTCTGGTGGGAAACAGCCCTCATTGCACCCCTGGTCCTGAGAAGACGAGCAAGGTGCTCACCTGTCTAGCGTGCCCTCCGGTGGGAATCAGCTATCACCGCACCCTAGGTGCTGAGGAGAGGAGGACAGTGTGCAAGCCTAGAGCACCCTCTTGTGGGAATCAGTGCTCACTGCATCCTCTGGTTTTGTGGGCGGAGCAGAGCAAGAAGTGAGCAGTGCAGGGGTGGGCTTGTGGGAGGATCTGGGGTCCTGAGGAGGACAGTACACACACCTAGAGCACCATCAGGTGGGAATTAGTGAACACTGCATACCTGGCCAGGACAAGAGGAGCACAGTGTGCACACCTAGAGCGCCCTCTGGTCAGAATCAGTGCTCACTGCACCCTCTGGTCCTGAGAAGGACAGTGCACACACCCAGAGCGCCCTCTGGTGGGAATCATTCTTAAAAGCAGCCATCAATTAAGAAAGCGTTAAAGCTCAACACTTCACTCTACTTTATCCACTGCAGCCCCTGGTCCTGAGAAGGACCGTGCACACACCCAGAGCGCCCTCTGGTGGGAATCAGTGCTCACTGCACCCTCTAGTCTTGTGGGAGGAGCAGAGCATGGAAGTGAGGGGTCCAGGGGCGGGGCTTGTGTAGGGGCAGAGAATGATAGGGGTGGGGCAACAATGAGTCCAGAGGCGGGGCTTGTGGGGAGGCAGAGCACAGGAGGGGTGTGGCAAAGGAGAAGTGAGTGGTGTATGGATGTCAGTCAGGGTACATATTAGGGTGTGTGATGGGGTATATGTTAGGGTACATGCATGTGACAGGTTACACATTTGGGATACACATAAGACGGTTACCTGGATGGTTTGGACAATGTATTAGAATTTAGAGTATTTATTAGGGTATGTGCTACGTTTAGGGTAAATGTGAAGTTGTAGTTTGTTAGGGTACATTCAGGGTACAGGTACAATTTAGAGAGTATGTGAATGGGTACTTGTTACCATATGGGTTCGTGTCCAGAGCATGTTTATTGTATTACAGTATATTGGGAATCTGTTAGGTTTAACATACATGTTAAAATAATGGCACATATTAGGGTATGTGTTTGAGTCCATGTCCATGTATGTGTTAGAGTTAGGGTACTTGATAGGGGATTTGTTAGGGTTACGGTACATGCTAGAGTGTGTGTTAGTTAGGGCACATATTAGGGTATGTATTAGAGTTAGCATACTTCACAGGGGATTCGTTAGGGTGAAGGTACATGTTAGGATATGGTTGAGTCACATGTTAGGGTACATTAATTTTTTAAAGTATGTGTCAAGGTACTTGGGGTATATGTAAAGGTCAGAGTTAGAGTATGTTAGGGTACATTCAGGGTACATGTAAGGTTACCTGTACGCTTTATAGAATATGTGTTAGGGTATTTGTTATTATATGCGTGTCTAGAGTATGTTTAATGTGTTAGAGTACTATTGGGAAATCTGTTGGGGTTAAAAGACATGTTAAAGTCAGGGCACATATTAGGGTGTACATTGGGTTACTTTAAGGTACAAGTTTGAGTGTATTTAAGGGTATTTGCATGGTTTTGAATAAGTGTTAGGGTCCTTGTTAGGGTATGAGTTAGTGTTTAGAGTACATGTTAGCAAACAGGGTATGTTTTGTGCACATGCTAGGGTACATGTATGACTTGAAGTACATGTTAGAGTACTTGTTACATGTAAATGTTTAGAGTGTGCGTTACAGTATGTGTTTGGGTATGTGTCAAGGTTACAGTTATGGTTTGGGTTAGGCAACACGTTAGGAAGTATGTTGGGATAAGTTTAGGGTACTTGTTAGGGTATATGTAAGCTGTACAGTACATGATAATGGTTAGGGTCTGTGTTAACCAGTAGGGTACATGTTAGAGTATTTGTTAGGGTTTGGCTTAGGGTTAAGGTATGTATTGGGTATGTTTGGGGTACATGCTAGTTTACCTATAAAGTACCTGAATGTATTAGAGTGCATGTAAGTCGTTGTTACCACACATTTTAGCGTTTAGAGTGTATGTTATGGCATGTGTTTGAGTTAGAATGAAGTTTATGGTATATGTCAGGGTTCGTGTTAGAGTTAGGGTATGTGTTAGGGTTAAGGTATACGCTATAGTGTATATTAGGGTTATGGTTTGGGTTAATTAAGGGCACGTGTTTGGGTATGCGGCAAGGTGAATTTGAGGTAGATGATATAGGGTGTACGTAAATGTGCCTGTATGGTTACAGTACTTGTTAGGGTACTTGATAGAATGTGACACTGTTTACTATATTTGTTAGGGTACTTATTAGGGTATGTGGTACAGTTTAGGGTTTTAGAGTAAAGGTATGTGTTAGGATAACTGATAGGGTACATGTTGGAGCATGTGCTAGGGTATGGGTTAGGGTTGTGGGTTAGGGTCAGAGTCAGGGTCATTGTCAGTGTTAGGATTATAGGTTAAGGTTATCCATCTGGTGAGGTTAGGGTGCTAGCATTTGGATTATGGGAATAGGTCAGGCTTAAAGTCAGGAAAGGGTGTAGGGAATATGGTAGACAAAGGGTGATGTTGTGGATGCACTTAAGGAAATGTTAGAGTAAGGATCCAGGAAAGGTTTAGGGTTAGGGAATGTGTGAAGAAGAACTCTGTGGGATGGGTTGGGGTTATGGATATGGTATGGATATGGAGGCTCAGTGGTACAGCGCTTGCCTTGCATGCCTGAGGCCCTGGGTTCGATTCCTCAGCATCACAGAAGCAAAAAGAAAAAAGCCAGAAGTGGCGCTGTGGCTCAAGTGGTAGAGCGCTAGCCTTGAGCTGAAGAGCTGAGGGACAGTGCCCAGGCCCGGAGTTCAGGCCCCACGACCGGACCTCCCCCCCCAAAAAAAATTGCAAGGTGACAGAAAAGCTAGGGATGAAAAAAGAAGGGAAGGAAGAAGGTAGAATAAACCTAGAGTACAATGCTCTGTAAGTCTAAGACGGGGAGAGTGAAAAGAAGAACTACAGAGAAAGAAATGGCAATTTACAAAAGCGATAACTGGTAGCACATTAAAAAAAAAAAACACAAAAACTAGGGACCTGTGGCTCACGCTAGGTACTGTGGAGGCCGAGATGTGAGGATCACAGTTGGAAACCAGCCTGGGTAAGAAAGCCCACCAGACTGTTATCTCCAATTAACCAAAAACAAAAGAAGCTGAAAGTTCAGCCGTAGCTCAAGTGGTAGAGCACCAGCCTTGAGGAAAAAAAGCTCAGGGACAACGCCCAGCCCTGAGTTGAAACCCCAGGACCAGTATATAAAAAATGTAAAGCAAAACGGGGCTGGGAAGGTGGCTCAGTGGTAAAGCACTTGCCTTGCATGCTTGAGGCCCTGGGTTTGATCCTCAGCACCACATAAGCAAAAAGAAAAAAAGCCGGAAGTGGCACTGTGGCTCAAGTGGTAGAGCGCTCGCCTTGAGCTGAAGAGCTGAGGGACAGCGCCCAGGCCCAGAGTTCAGGCCCCACAACCGGACCCAAAAATAAAAAAAAAAAAAAAAAAAGTAAAGCAAAAAAAAGAGTCGTTTTTCTATCATTGCTGAGAAGGAATGCCGTCTGGCGCTCCGTCTGGTGGTCTGCGCCTCCCTTCAGAGTTCTGGCTTGGCCAGGTGCAGGCTGGGAACAGAGCAGCGGATGGAGCGAGGAGGCGCCGCTCCTGTGCTCTGGAGAGTCCCTGGAGCTGGTCTGTTCTACGGAATCCAGTGGGGCCAGGCGGGGCATGCCCAGCAGCCCCGGCCGGCCCTTCAGCATGTGCCCACCTCTCTGCGCCGCTCAGGGAGTTCAGCTCCTGCTCTGGCTTTTCTGTGGCAAGCCTTTCCCCCTCCACTGAGGCTGCCGGTGTACCATACCCTTCAGAGTGTGTAGAGCACAGCCTTGTTCCCTTCCCGAGGCTTAAGTTTAAGAGGCGCTGTCTAATCCAGCACCAAGAATGCTTCTCCCTTCCTGAGCGCCTGACATGTGGTACCTCCTGACCTCTTTTGGGAGTTGGGAGAGTCAAAGGCAAGGTGGTGAGTGTTCACGTAGCTAGGGGTCGTGAGGACATGGGACTTCTCCAGCGACCGCACTGATGCGCTGTTCCTTTTTTTTAACCAGTGTTTGTCCAGCACGATGCTGCTCAGCTCTACCTCACGTTCTGGAACCTTCTTAAGGATCAAATAGATGATGTGGACTTGGTAAGAGCTGAAGCTGGAATCCCAGGACCTGTAGAGGTCGCTCACCATTGTGCATTTGTAGTAAGGGATCCGTGGAGACCGCTTGCCACGGTTCCTGGTGTCCTTCCTGGTACCTGCCCGGAGCGTCAGGGCTCGTCAGTCCAACAGGTCCAACTCTGGCCATAGCCTCACCTGTCCTTGGCGCCTTCTTGCAGGTAGAGAGGCTGCAGGCCCTGTACACGATCCGGGTGAAGGAGTCCCTGGTTTGCCTCCTCTGTACCAGAGAGAGCAGTAGGAACAGCAGTATGCTGACCCTCTCCCTCCCTCTCTATGACGTGGACGCAAAGCCTCTGCAAACCCTGGTGAGAGACTGGGTGAGAAAGGGTCGCCCCGCCATGCCAGTTCCCCCCGCCATGCCAGTTCCCCGTGTCCTTCCACCCGCGGACACTAACAACTCTGTTTCACTTGCACGGCTCTAGGTGGCCAATTTCTTTGAGCAGCAGCAGAAGTTCTATCCTGTTTCTCATTTTCTCACCCTCGTATTAACCAGGGCTCCTTGTGTTTTCTCCTCCAGTGGGTGGAAGATCCTGACAGATGTAGCGCTGGTAGTGGGGTGCTTGGGGGACTGTGGGGGAACCTGCAGTGGAGCTCAGCCCTCACCTGTGGGGTGGCCGCGTGCCCATGGAAAGGGTCTGCTGACGCGGCCTTTCCCTGCGGCCTCCGCCGGCAGGAGGAGGCCCTGCGCTGTTTTTTCCACCCCAGGGAATTAGCCAGCAAGAGCAAGTGGTTCTGCGAGGTCTGCGGGACGAAGACGCGTGGAAGCCAGGTGCCCACCCTCAGGTTCAGATGCGTCTCCGGGGCGGGCTGTTGCTGGGCCACGGCTTTCCAGACACTTCCGGGCCATTCCTGATGGCGGATGGGGTGGGATGTGGGTGAGGCTAGTTCAGACGCTCGGGCTTCTCATAGACGGGGCTGTGGATGTTGCTTTTTGACCACAGTCTTCCACCAGGAGTGGCAGGTGACGGCATGAGGCTGGGTGGGGGCGGTGGGGTTTCCTCTTTGGTTTTAGAGACGCTCCCTACAGCAGACTCCTAGTTTCTGAGGGCCAGGCACCTCTGCGGAGCCCTGAGCAGCTCACGGCTTTTGTCTGAGGTCCATAGTGCTGTGCCGGCCAAGCGTCCCCTGAGTCTCCGGGGAGAGGAATGGATTCTGCCATGGAAGCCTTCAGCTCCCCAGTGTGTCCCCCGCACCCCTCCCCCTGGGGAGGAGAACGAGCCACCAGGCCCGGCGTTTCTCAGGATCTTCCCGCAAGCGCCTCGGGGCCCCGTCTCACAGTGAGTTTTGCTTTTGCAGGTCTTGAGGATGACGCATCTGCCCCAAACCCTGACCCTTCACCTGATGCGATTCTCCATTCGGAACTCACAGACGGAGAAAGTCTGCCACTTGCTGCACTTCCCTCAGCGCTTGGATCTCAGTCAGGTTCTTCTGGCTGAGCATCAAGACTTCACTGAGGACGCAGAGCAGGTGAGGTGTTCTGGATCGATCCTACCAGACGCGGCGTCCTCCAGGTTCAGCGCTCTTACCCCTCGACTGCTAGATGGCACCGACTGGTGACTCCCCTGGTTCAGGCTCCCCAGGCCCGGGTTAGCGATTTGGTCTTCAGCTCACCTCCACAGTGTGAGGGCTCGGAGCAGCCCGGTGCTGGGTGCGCAGCGCCCCCGGGAGGGGAGCCAGGCGTGGTGAGCTCAGCCTCTGAGCACTGCTCTGTCTGAGGAAGTGTGCCCTCTGCAGGCTAGGCGGGGCCCGCACCGAGGACAGGCTGGCCTCAGGTTGCTGCGAGTCACAGAAGCAAAGGCATATTCAAGGCAGAGGGCTTAAAAACATTTTAAATTCAATTTATTTATTTATTTTTCAGCCAGTATGTTGGCACGTGCCTATCTTCTTTGCGGTCGGGAGACGTAGACCAGAGGGGCATTGGTTCAAGGCCAGTGTGAGCTACACAGTTAAGACCCTGCCTCACAAATAAAAGAAAGGCTGTTTTTGTTTTTTTCTAAGCATTATTGATTTTAATGACCATGTGGTCCCCCGGGGTCCGTGCTGGGGTTATCATTATAACAATGTCACCACAAGCCTTTGCTGTTCCTAGTGTTAGTTTCTTTAAAGATTCAGAACAAACCTGCCTTATTTCCAATGTTGACACATGGAAAGTATTTGTGTGTAGGGATTTCAGTGTGGTGCTGTGACGTACGCATGCCGGAGGAATGGTGTCTTGTGGTCTTGGCACTGACTAATGTGTCACGCTGGGCCTGTAGCAAGCACATCGCCATTCACCATCTGAGCCAAGCCGCTGGGCCTTTTTGCTTGAGTTCTGTTATCAGGCAGTGGTTTGTTTTTGTCCAGGCCTGACCTTGGGCTGCTCTTCTACCTCTGCCTCTCCCAGGGACAGGCTTCCGGGTGTGCACTTGTGTCTGGCTTGTCTGTTGAGATCGGAGTCTCACTAGCTTTCTGGCCAGGCTGACTTTGTCCACAGCCTTTCTGATCTCCCCCTCTGGAGAACCTGGATTATAGGTGTGCAACCGCACCCATCCTCAAATTTTGGAAAGATTAGCTCAAGCTAGACAACATACTTATCACTTCACCTGTGTCTTTGTGGTGAGCGTATGTAAAAATTCTTTAAAAGCATTTTCCGGTGTGGAACACATTATAATTACGATAGTGTATGACATTGTTCTGAAACCTATTCCTCCCGTTTAACTGGAAGTTTGTGCGCTTTGATCACCATCTTTCATTACAACCCCTAATAACCACTGTTGGGTTTCTGCTGCTATGTTTTTATTTGAAAGAAAGAAATACTCTTGACTAACAAAAAAGTCAGCCCAAACTCTCACTACTAATGTTCCCTTTTCTTTTAAACAGTTTTCTAAGATTTTGAGGGAGTGGAACACTTCATGGACACATGTATTAGAGACTTTGCGTCTGGAACATTCCTCTTTGTGTCCTACTGTCTTTGTAAGGTTTCTGTCCTGCCATTTCACTGTCCGTTTTCGGGTTCTTTTCTGTCAGCGTTTTGTGGATATTCTAGTTCCATTTCTTCTCCTCACCTTTTTGAATGTCACCTCATATTTCTCACAGTTTCATTAACCTCAAACTGAAGACTTTCAGACTATGTCTTCTGTTCAGATGGTGGCATGTGTCTATCAGCCCATTAATCATAGGAAGCCTGAAGCGGGGGAAATCATGTTCCCGACGTTTGCCTGGGGAAGGACAAAACAGCATAGAACAGAGCTAGGGGTGTGATTCAATGGTAAGGCTCCTGCCTGGCACGCAGGAGGCCCTGGGTTCAAACCGCAACTTCCAAAACAAACCAACAAAAACAAAGAAGAAACCAAGGTGAAACAAAAAGTTCACAACCCCTCCCCCCCCCAAAAGAAACCAAAACAAATTCCCTTCCGATAACTTGTCTGCCAATGTTAAAAAACCCTTCTGCACTGTTAACAGAGACCTCCTCAGAGTTCCCACTTGGCAAAAATTGAACATCCCCCACTTACTGGTCGTGCGTCTGATATAACACAGGCATCACAGTTCTGGTTTGTGATGCTTCTCTTCAACTAGCTGTGAGATTCTGCAGGTCAAGGTCTTTTCTTCGAGCTCCTTGGAAGTGTCAGTGCCGGGCCTAGAGCAGGCAGTAAACAAGTGCCTGGCAAATATGCTTCCTCATTAAAGACCAGGGCTGGGAAAGGAGGGATGGGTCGCTTACAGCCTTGTCCTCTTCCAGCGTGAAGCACAGTATGAACTCTTCGCTGTGATAGCCCACGTAGGGATGGCAGACTTCGGTCATTACTGTGCCTACATTCGGAATCCAGCGGATGGAAGATGGCTCTGCTTCAATGACTCCAATGTTTGTTGGGTGAGAACCATCATCTAAACTTTCCTCCTTCTCTGAATTCTCAGCTCAGAGTTGAAGACGCATTATGGTCTTGTAGTTTGTGTGTAGGAGCTGGGGAGTTTTGTGGTTCAAAGCCATTCTCTAGGTTTATTGCTTTATTTATTTATTTTTTTGCTTGTCTTGGGGCTTAGACTCAGGGTCTGGGTGCTGTTCCCCAGCCTCTTTGTGTTCAAGGAGAGTGCTCTACCTACCACTTCGGCCCCAGCGCCACTTCCGGTTTTTTCTGTGTATGTGGTACTGAGGAATGGAACCCAGGGCTTCATGCATGCTAGGCGAGCACTCTACCACTGAGCCACCTTCCCAGCCATGGTTTATTGCTTTCTAAGCATCTGTTTGTGTCAGTGTTAGGTTTCTGGTGCTCTTAGCCCCGTACCTTGAAGGTTTATGCTTTGTAGGAAATGTCTGTGGAGCGAGACGTTAAAGATGCAAGGTGTAAAACTCTGGGATAGGTGTGAGCATTTCAAGGTGAGTGGGGACATTACAGAGGGTCTCAGGATGCACGGCGTTGTGTCACCAGATGCTCTGATGCTGTGTGGTCGCCAGGGTGGGCTTCTCCATTCTCTGCAGGAGTCTAACAGGGCACATTACAGTGTCCCCTGTTCTGTCCACACGTAATAGCAGCTGCCAACCAGCTGCTGATGTCTGTGATGTTCTTCCAGGTGTCCTGGGAAGATGTCCAGTGTACCTATGGAAATCATCACTACCGCTGGTAAGAGAAGTACTTGGGGGAATGGGGTCCCCTGGGTTCTTGGAGCTTTATGAAATCTGCACGGATGAACTATTGCCTTTATCCGAGAGTCCCCACTGACTACCATTCAGCCTCATCTTTCAGCAGTCATCCCTGGCACCACACTTCCCTCAGAATTTAGACTTAAGTAAAGCACTGGCATAAGTCCCAATACCATGTCCATCATCTTCTGTAACTGTGTACCTGTATTTTCTGGTCTCTATGACCCTGTCCTAATTTATCTTCTGAGCAAGTGCCTAGTGGTGTTTTGATAATCACGGTCTCTCCTACTGCGCAAAGCCTTTACTGATGGGCCTCAGCGGATTGGCGGGGCTATCTTATCAGTACCGCGCTAACCGATTGCACCGCTGGAGCTCCAAAGGCAGGGCTATCTTATTGCTTTCGTTGCTTTTTGAGCAGGCCTCCTTTATTACACTTCAAAATGTTTTTTGATTTTGCGACTTTTCCCCTCACACCAGACCATGTGCTTTTTTTTTTATTTTTTTTATTTTTGTTGCTGGTTCTTGGGTTTGAAGTCTAGGCCTAGGCATTGAGCTTTTTCACTCAAGGCTAGTGCTCTACCACATGAACCACAACTCCACGGCCTGCTTTTGTGTGGTTAATTTGAGATAAGAGTATCAAAGACTTTTCTGCTCTGCTGGCTTTGAACCTGAATTCT